ACAGGATGGGTCATTGCAGTTCCCTCCCCCTCCAGCAACAAGGGGAGGGGTGGAGATTCGGTCGTCTATTTACTGTAGCAGAGAGAGGGGAGGAGAGCGCAAAAAGTAACTTTGGTGCGTGAGCTAGTGAGCCCTATATTTTGAATAGTGTTAAAACATTATTTTAAAGCTTGGAAAGATGTGCAGTGCATGCATTATTCACTATTAAAAGAAATGACCATTTTGTCAAAAAAGTTATAGCTCACATGTTCACTTACTTCATCGGCAAACTTTAAAATGTTTTTAGATAAACTATTTAAAGTAAGGTGCTCCAAGCATCCACTCTCGAGAGAGGATAGCGTAGCTCAGTTTGTCGAGTGGTAAAAAAACAGTCGAACCGATCTAGCACCTGCCGGCCTACCCCCATGGTCCTTGCCCTAAGAGCATCTGCGGTCAGGCGCCCTAAACCCGTCTCAAACGCCTGGGCAGGCTGATCGGTCACAAAAAATCGACCCACCCGGACGTCTCAAACGGGTCTCAAATAATTGGACGGACCAGCACCCCTCATATCTAGCCTAAAAATATAGGGCGGTTTGAGCGCATCCGCCACGTCGGCTCGGCCCAGCCTTGCCCACGCCTGTCCCATAAATATCCCCATCTGGAAAACCCTAGACCGCAGTGAATTTGAACTCCACTTCACTTTCCTCTCCGTCCACTCCACTTTCGATCCCCTCCGAACGCATCCAATGGCCGGTGACCAAAGCAGCGCTGCCTCCGGTGGGGACTCCGGCTCCGATGACGACTGGGCTAGCCTGTTGTGCGAAGCGGAACCCAATGATGTGGAGGAGGTCGCCCTCCGCATTGCATTGAAGCGTTCGATGGTCGACCAAGTAGGATCCGGCAGTGGCAGATCCACTTCGTCAACGCCCGGAGAGATGCGGTCCACTCGGCAAGGGGAAACGTCTGGCATGGGCGTGTCGGCACTCGGTGCTCCCTCCCCGATGGCATCAGGATTGGGTGGGTCGGCTCTCTCATCATCGTCCAGCTGGATGACCTCGGGTGGATCTACACGAATTTACAAACCAAGGAGATCATGAGAATTCTGTCAGAGAAGGCATGACCATCTGAATCAGTTGGCATAACATACCTTTGGAAGTGGCAGCGTCCATCGCATCAGCGTCATTTGTGCCTGACTTGCGGGCGTGCGGGTCCGCTGACGTCATCGAGGTGTCGTTGCTGCGGAAGTCAGAGAACACTCAGTCAGCAAAACCAAACCAGCACAAAAATAAATAATGGATTTACTAGAGCACTCACGTCAAGACCACGTGCACCGCCACCTTGATCCGAGGCACCGCGACCTTTTGAGGCTTGGAGGGGATCTACTTGGACAACTTGAGTTGCTTCTCCGCCGAACTCTCAGCCTCGACACGAGCACACTTCGAGCTCTGAGTCGCCAGACCAGAGACAGTCGGCTGCTGAGCCGCACTCGCCTTCCCCTTGGGGTCATGCAGCGCCTTGGAGCAGGGTTCCTTGGGAGCCTCATAGGACGGAGAGTACTCTGCCTCCTCCCCCTCCTAGAGCTCTCCTCCTCATCATCACTCTTGTCATCTTCAGATTCCTCTGAGTACCCTTGCTCAGTGTCACTCGTCATGTCTTCGGGCGACCAGTCCACCACTGGGATCTTGGAAATCATCTCCGGGAAATCCTGAAGGGAAAATTCATCGCAACAACTAAAGTCAGATACACATGAAACGATGCACGCATGGACTGACCGAGCATCATGTACATACCTCTAGGGGTTGGAAGTCTTTGGAATATGGAGGCACCCGCCTAGTCCCCTCGAGTTGTCTCAGGCGCAGGTGATGGCCTTGATCTTGGCCCCCACGTTTGTCTCGACAAGCTCCTCAGGATGCACTTGGGTGGGATCACTCGCCCCCTCGTACATCCACATCGGATGGACCCGGGCCTGCAGCGGCTGGATCCACCGAGTGAGAAACACCTCCAGCAAGTCCATCTCGTTGACGCCAGCGTTCACAACACTAATGAGAGCAGTGGACAAGATGTCGACCTCCGCCTTCTCCTCCTTCGCCACAGAGAGTGATGGAGGAGCCCTCACTCTCTTCGAGGAGTACGGTCGAGGCCTGACCGAGTGTTGGCGCTGGGGACATCCCTGTAGTAGAACCAGGTGCCCTGCCACCCCTTGACGGAGTCAGGGAAGCTCATCTTTGGGAAGGATCTCCCTCCGCGAACTTGGATGCCCAGACCCCCGCATAGCTGAGTGACGTTGGTCTTCTCACCAGTCCGCGAGTCTTTCTTGACGATCATCGACCGACAAGTGAAGATATACTTGAAGTCGCCCCAATGCGGCGGGCAACCCAAAAATTCTCGCAGAGACAGGCAAAGGCCAAGAGGTAGATAATGGCATTGGGAGGAAGATGATGAAGTTACGCGCCGAAATAATCAAGAAACGCCCGAAAGAAAGGATGGGGAGGCATGGAAAACCCCCACTCAACATGGGTGACGAGCAGAACGTGCTTGTCCTCCTGAGGCGCCGACTCAACCTTCCCCACACCCGGGCGACGCCATCGTTCATGCAGGATCAGACCCTCCTCCGCAAGCTCCTCCAGTCACCGGGCCGAGATGCGCGTCGGGATCCAGTCCCCCGCCGCGCCGCCGGCTGCCGCACCGGAGCCAGATGAGGAAGCCTTCCCCACCTTCTTCACTTTCTCCACCTTGGCCGTGGAATCCCTTGCCAGCGCTGCGCAGTCGAGAGGAGGAAAGAGGCAGAGGAGTCGGAGTGAGGAGAAGGGGATCTGAGGGCCGGACCTCTGTCTCCAGGTCTTTTATATCATCGGACAAAATCTCTAGCCGGATCCCTCACCACGAATCCCTGGATCGACGACCCGTGCGAAAGGGCTTTGCACAGGACAGGCGCAACACGTGGCGGGGATCGTGCGCACAAATTGAGGAGCCACACCCCCACTTTCCCACTAACGCATGATGTTACCTTTTTATCGCGCGAACACGCAAATTGAAATCCCGAGATTTTTGGATGAATTAATCTGATTGATCGCCAACGATTCCTTTCCTAAAAGGACGCGTGTCAGTCCAACTGACTACCCTCCACGGAGACCCATGCACTCGGCCACGTTAAACACCCGACTGAAGTCTTCTTCGGGATCGTTATGTGACGAGCTTGACGCCCCTCTACGGGTTCACTTGACCCTCTCGGCAGGCTCCAAGGCGCATGCCTCGTAAACCTGGACTTGTAGGAGGCCTCCGCTAGTGTTCCCCTGGGATACGAAGTGGCATCTCTCCCGAGAGTCAGAACACGCGCCGGCGTCGCCACTCGAGTTGTGATGGCATGACCTCACTCGGGCCCCTAGTCTATCTCCTCCGAGAGACAAAACGAATGGCACCAGGTTTTTTCTCGACGATTGACAAGACCCGGTCATCTGGGTGAACCTAAAGTCCAGAATCCGTTGTGTTTTCGTCTACTCCCTCCGTCCGCGAATAAGTATACCTCTAGCTTTTGTCCTATGTCAAAATTTTAAATTTTTGACCAATTATACAAAAGAGTAGTAACATATATGACATCAAATTGATATATTATGAAAGTAGTACAATTCAAATCGGACCTAGTGATACTAATTTAGTGTCATAAATGCTGCTACTTTTCCCTATAAAGTTGGTTAAAGTTTTGAAACTTTGACTTAAGAAAAAAGCTAGAAGTACACTTATTCATGAATGGATGGAGTAAGGAACAACAAATCATGGTTGGAAAACATATTCCGAGTGCCCTTGCAACACTCGGACTCAATCGAAGGATCGGTTTGTTTGTCCTACGAAATCCCAACCGATTCGGGGGTTAATGATGTGGACACCTATTACAGGTAGGGTCAAGGGCCCATCATTTGGGACCCACATAGGGCCCATCATCATCATAGGTAGTTCCCTGGACCATGACAGCATTCGGGTGAGTACATTAAGAAGTTTATTCAGACGGCTCTGCGGCACTCGAACGACCACACGTCACTCTGCTAATGGTCCACCACTCGGACGAAGAGGACAGGAGGGCGTCAAGGGAGCTGCAACGGTCGAGAAATTCTGTCATCCACTAAATAGAGTTATTGCTACCGTTATCTGTAACTGTTGTAGTAGAGGCTCATTACACTAGTAACTGTCTCATTCAACGACATTAATTGCCTTAGCAGCATGGGAAACATGGGGTTGCAGCGCATTTTATATAAGCCGCACCCCTCTCCATAGTCGGGCATGTTCAACCTGTGTAACCATATCCATCAAATCAAAGCAAGTCTCAGGGCACGAGACGTAGGGCTTTTACCATCACCGAGAGGGGGCTGAACTCATTAAACACCGAGTGTTACACCTATGCTGTAGCTAGTTTCTGCCCCTTATTCGTGCCCCTAGTCTCATTGTCAGGATCATAACCCCCGACAGGGCACGAGTGTGAAAGGCAAAATATAAGGCATGCCCAGACAATGCCCGCGGATGCGGCCGGGCGTGTCCGCGGGCGTTTGCGATTCGGATTTGCCCATCGCGGCTGTAGATGCTCTAAGGAGGAGGGCGGAGATGTTTTGGGTTTGCTAGGTGAGCCTCTCGCTACACATTCGATTGAGACGGGAGTTAGCATCGTGTCTCTTTCTCCTTGTATTTTTACATGAAATACGAACGCACGCAACACAGAAAATGCGGCACCTTTTCGTGCCTGGACAGCATTGCCGCGCCTTTCCGTAGCGTGCTGTCCCGGTCATGACACTGGCTTTGATCCTCTCCCGCAAGTTAATAGCCATCGATCAGCTACCATTCAAAGATCACGCGCGCAGCTGCCCATTCATTCAACTCCCAGGTAGCAGCTCGCCTCCATCGCCGCGCCGTGCACGTCGTCCTAGCTCGCCAGGCTGACTAGCTTAACTACTCATACACACATCCACCATTTCTAGCTAGCTAGCAGAAGCAGATACGAGGTGCCGACCGGCGGCCGGCAAGCGTTCAGGGAGATGAGGCTGGAGAGGGTGGTGTTCGCGCTGAACGGGCGGCGGTACAAGGTGGGCGCCGGCGACGTCCACCCTGGGACCACGCTGCTCGAGTTCATCCGCAGTTCTGCACCCAGACGCCATTCACCGGCACCAAGCTCGGCTGCGGCGACGCTCACTCGCTCGCTCGCTTGCTCTTGATCCATGATTCTCTTAGCTTTGCTAGCCAGCAAGCACTTGGAACCTACGTGTTGTTGGCGCCGAAATGGAACTACCGAAGCACGGCGATCACCGGAGACACGATCGGCAAGGAGGAAGGTGGACACAGAGTTTTTCCGGGTGCTCGAACACCCCCGCCGCACGAACGGCTTCACTGTTTATCACCTCGAGCACGAACTCGATCTCCTCAGCGACTGACACAGGGGGGAGAGGGTCTTATACCCGAGCCCACGGACATGCCCGTGCAGCTCCACGACTCGCTCGACTCCCAGTCGCCACGCCCCGCACGCCCTGGCTCGTGCGCGCCCATCGCGCTCTGACGCGATCGCCGCGGCCACTTCGCGCGCCCTACGCGGCCCACGCCCTGGTCCTACGCCAACAGACTCGCGCACATACGCGCTAACCCACGCACACACGCACACCTACACTTGGGAGCGCACGCACGCACCCAACCTTGCCCTGGCCCGAGTCCGACGCGCCCACCGCGCACGCTCGCGCGCACCGGCTCGCCAGACTCGCCACGGATTATTCCCAACATTCTCCCCCTAAGCCGTGGCTCAGAGGAGTCCGTCGTCCTCAACTCTGCCGTCCGCCAGCAGCGCCCGCTCCGCCGCTGGCGCCTTCCGCAGCTCACAGTCCCGCTTGAAATGGCCTCGTTCACCGCATTTGTAGCACCGGCCACGTTTATTGCCGCCGCTGCCTGATGCCACACTGCGCGTGTCATCGTCGTTGCCGTCCCGAGCTCCCCCTTGGCGCCGCTCCCGCGCCCGCCATTTCGCCGCCGTGTACAAGAGCTGGCCGTCCTGGCGCTCGCCGCTGCTCTGCCGGCGGCGCCACACACGCTCGTCAAACGCGTGCAACCGCCCGAGCACCTCGTCGTAGGTGAGCTCCTCGAGCTCGCAGAATTGCTCGATACCGGCGACCACCGGGAAGAGACGGTCCGACACCGTATCCATGAGCTTCTTCACCAGCTCGGTGTCGCTCAGCGTCTCTCCCAGGCCCGCGAACCTCGCCGTCATCCCCGCCAACCTGCCGGCGTAGACATCCAGAGACTCGCCGTCCTCCATCCTCAGCCGGTCCAGCTCGCCGCGCAACGTCGCCCTTCTCGCCGCGCGCACCCGTTCGGCGCTGACGAAACGCACTTTGAGGGAGTCCCATACCTCCCTCGCCGTGGGCTTCGCCGCCACCTGCAGCAAGACGTCCTCCGGCAGCCCCGACAGAAGCAGCGCCCTCGCCGTCTTGCACTTCTTCGCGATGACCGCCACGTCGTTCGCCGGCGCCACCGCCTCCCACAGCGTGTGGGCATCAAGGATTGCCTGCGCCTTGATCGCCCACACGGTGTAGTTCTCCGGCAAGAGCATCGGCATGTTCATCGACACCGATCCGCCCGCGCCGCCGCCACCGTATAGAACCAGCGCCATGAACTCCGGCGAGCTCCCTCACCGCGCCTCGTCGCCTCGCTCTGATACCAAATGTTGGTGCCGAAATGGAACTACCGAAGCACGGCGATCACCGAAGACACGATCGGCAAGGAGGAAGGTGGACACAGAGTTTTTCCGGGTGCTCGAACACCCCCGCCGCACGAACGGCTTCACTGTTTATCACCTCGAGCACGAACTCGATCTCCTCAGCGACTTACACAGGGGGGGAGAGGGTCTTATACCCGAGCCAACAGACATGCCCGTGCAGCTCCACGACTCGCCCGACTCCCACACGCCACGCCCCGCACGCCCTGGCTTGCGCGCGCCCATCGCGCTCTGACGCGATCGCCACGGCCACTTCGCGCGCCCTACGCGGCCCACGCCCTGGTCCTACGCCAACAGACTCGTGCACATACGCGCTAACCCACGCACACACGCACACCTACACTTGGGAGCGCACGCACGCACCCAACCTTGCCCTGGCCCGAGTCCGACGCGCCCACCGCGCACGCTCGCGCGCACCGGCTCGCCAGACTCGCCACGGATTATTCCCAACACGTGTGACTCCGGCAATTGCACTCGGTGAAGGGTAAAGCAGATGTGAAACCCTAGAATTATGTGTTGTATTGATCTGACCCTTGTGTAGGGTATATATAGGAGTACAAAAGGGGTAGAGACTTGGAGTACAAGACAACTTACATGTGGTTTAAAATAATTCTATCTCTATCTCTCCTTATCTCTAACTTAAACCCAATTATATTTCTAACATTCCCCCTCAGTCGTAGCGGAAGTGAAGCGGACGAGTACGACTGGATTTGAAGTCTTGCGCTTTCGTCGTCTTCTCCGCTGCGCTATCATCAGCTGCGTCTCTGATGGGTTGGCACCTAGGGCGGTGACTGCGTCCCCTTCTGGTGCCTTCATGCCTTCTCCTCTATTCCCTCCTGCAGTCACAGCGGAAGTGGCGTGGACGCTAGTGACGACGCGGACGCTGTTGACTAGAGTTGTTGCCGATGAGTTGCTGTAGACGTAGCCGTGTGGTCGATGTCGAGGTAGCCGGTCAGGGTGATGTAGCCGTGGTCGGTGGTGTGGTCGTCCCGGATGATGAAGCCGCACAAAGACGGAGGCGGAAAAAAAATGCGCTATGACAGAGCTGCAGACGTGGACGATGCACCTTGCGGATGTCAGAGGGTGCCGTCGGTGATGAGTCTGCCGGTTTTGCCAAGACCGGAGGAAACCCATCGAGCACACGTCGGTTTGGCCAGAACCGTGTGGCCGTGTAGGGTCGTCACTGTAGTCACGCCATGTCGATGCAGTTGTACCGTCGTGGATGACGCGGTTGATACCGTCGTCGTGACGCGGTCATTGCCGTCGTCGTGGTCGCGTCTTGCAGAAAATCCTGTCAGAGGACGCTGGTGTCCATCTTGTGGACGACGCAACGGCGGTGTGTTGAAGAAGATGTTGGTGAAGACCACGTTGATGAAGACCTTGGCGATGAAGTGTCGGCGATGGCGTCGCAGTGGTGTGAAACCCTAGAATTATATGTTGTATTGATCTGACCCTTGTGTACGGTATATATAGGAGTACAAGAAGGGTAGAGACTTGAAGTACAAAACAAGTTACACGTGGTTTAAACTAATTCTATCTCTATCTCCTTATCCAATTATATTTCTAACAGCATATCCTTTCCTTCTTTTCTTGAGGGCGTCATGGTTCGAGTGCGGTGCTATCGGTCATGCGTACCATTGCTTTCTGTGATTTTTGGGTCGACATGCGTACGTTGTGGTCCAAGCGTACATCATTAATTTTAATGATCCAAGGACGATCACTGTCCTGACAACTCCCAGCACAAGGAAATTAGTGTTTTCCGTCTGTTGGAGACCGATAGTCTGACTCTGAGATCATTATGTCGATCTAGTATCATTCTGCGTATTGATCGCGATGTGTTATTATTTGGTCCACAAAATCACACACTTATCACAAACATGCACATATCAAAGACACTGGCTTATAATTTGGAACGGAGGAAGTGTGCTTCTTACGATTCTAATAGTAAAGATTCTACGATTTGCGGTCATACTATCAGAGCTTCGATCCTATTCAGAATCACGGTTTCACTACCTTGTGACATGCGTCAGTGCATCTGGATGTGCGGATGTGATGGGCACGATTAGATATGTAAAGGGTGGTCGGAAATACTTAACAAATTGCACACTGGTAGAAAACAGGGCATATGTTTGGGTCAGATAAGCCCATTAGTCCCGGTTCAGTCACGAACCGGGTCCCATGGACCCATTGGTCCCGGTTCGTGAGGCCAGGAGGCCTGCCGGGCCTCGTGGGGCATTGGCTCCGGTTCGTCTGGCACCTTTGGTTCCGGTTGGTTGGACGAACCGGGACCAATGGTCCTCGCTCTGGCCCATCATCATTGGTCCCAGTTGGTGGCTTGAACTGGGAGCAAAGGGTGGTCTTTAGTACCGGTTCAAGCCATGAATAGGGACCAATAATGTAACTATATATACCCCCTCGCCCGCGAGCAAAGCACTCCACTGCTCTGTTTTTCTCCTCAGCCGTTGGAGAGCTTTATGGTGCTTTAGCTCACCTTCTATGCACACAAGGTGTTCGATGGAATGCCCGAGTCACAATACTTAAACTTTCTCCTCTCCAACCTCGACCTCCAAGCTCTATTTTCTTCAATATTTGTCTAGGTTTAGCGGTCCGTCGCGTCCCATCCTCGTCTTCACCACCGTCGATCGCCCGCGCCGATCTCGTCGCCAGCACCACCGTGGTGAGCCTCTTATTCTTATCTTCTTTCTTAAAGGAAACAAATTCTTACTTGTATGTTTATATAGATACTTGTATAATCTTCTTAGTTTTATTATTGCTTCTTATTATTTAGTGCGATGGTTTTGGTATACGCCCCCGTCGGCCCTCGTCCTGTCTATGATTAAGATGTGGTATATATTATTTTTATAACTATTGGGTTCATTTATTGTTTATGCCAATTATGCCGACCAACATGACATAGATTTTATTTATCTAGGAGGTATGTGAACCGGAAATTCCAACCGACCCTATTGTCGAGAGGTTAAATTTAGTTGAAGAAGAAAACATTTTCTTGAAGAAAAAAATAAAAAAAATTGAGGAGAAGAAGATGATATTAGAGTTGCATGTTGTGGATGTCGTCGATGACACAAGATCAAGATGAATGCAATGCGCTTGAGGATTAGAAAGATTAGAAAATATGCCATTCATATCGAGGCTTGGTATCATTATGCTGTTGGAACAATTGTTACCTTGGATGCGATTATGATCGCATTTGTTTTCGCATTGACATGTTTTACATAGTTTCAATGTATGGTTTAATTAATTAGATGCTCTGGAGAGCTATATGTTGTTCAACGAGAACTATGTATGTGCTTTGGTTTTAATGTGATGTGAACTTATATTAATTTGGTCACTTAATTATCTATCCATGATGTTCTGTAATGGTTTTTAACACACTTAATTATATATAATGCACACAGATGAACCGACAATGGTTGTACGGTGACAGACACACCTCCGAGTACATTAAGGGCGTGCATGATTTTCTCGAAGTGGCTGAGGCAAACAAGCAGAATGGTTTTATGTGTTGTCCATGCCCTGTTTGTGAGAATACGAAGTCTTACTCTAACTGGAAAATCCTTCACATCCACCTGCTTGAGAAGGGTTTCATGCCACACTATAATGTTTGGACCAAGCATGGAGAAATACGGGTTATGATGGAAGACAACGAAGAAGAAAAGGACGATGACAACTATGTGCCCCCTGAATACGGTGATGCTGCAACGTGGGAAGCTGTTGAAGATCAAGAGGAACCAGACGATCTGCCCGATGATGATCTCCGCCAGGTCATTGTTGATGCAAGGAGTCAGTGCGAAAGTGAAAAGGAGAAGGTGAAGAGGATCACAAAAAAGCTTTGTACCCCAATTGCGAAGATGGCAACACAAAGCTCGGTACCGTACTGGAATTAATCCTTGCGGGGAGCAGAGTAGCAATCACAGCACCTGGCTCGTGACTCTATGTATCTATAACCTTCCTCCTTGGTTGTGCATGAAGCGGAAGTTCATTATGATGCCAGTTCTCATCCAAGGCCCTAAGCAACCCGGCAATGACATTGATGTGTACCTAAGGCCATTAGTTGAAGAACTTTTACGGGTGTGGATTGGAAACGGTGTACGTGCATGGGATGAGCACAAACAGGAGGAATTTGACCTGCATGTGTTGCTGTTTGTCACCATCAATGATTGGCCTACTCTCAGTAACCTTTCAGGACAGACAAACAAGGGATACCATGCATGCACACACTGTTTAGATGACACCCAAAGTATATAGCTGGACAAATGCAGGAAGAATCTTTACCTGGGGCATCGTCGATTCCTTTCGACCAACCATCAATGTCGAAAGAAAGGCAAGCACTTCAAAGGTGAGGCTGATCACCGGAAGAAGCCCGCCATGCGTACCGGTGATCACATACTTGCTATGGTTAATGATTTAAAAGTAATCTTCGGAAAGGGTCCCGGCGAACTATCTGTTCCAAGTGACGCTGAGGGACACGCACCCATGTGGAAGAAGAAATCTATATTTTGGGACCTACCTTACTGGAAAGACCTAGAGGTCCGCTCTTCAATCGATGTGATGCATGTGACGAAGAACCTTTGCGTGAACCTGTTAGGCTTCTTGGGCATGTATGGGAATACAAAAGATATAGCGGAGGCACGGGAGGACCTGCAATGTTTGCACGAAAAAGACGGCATGCCTCCAAAGCAGTATGAAGATCCTGCCAGCTACGCTCTTACCAAATAAGAGAAGGAAATCTTCTTTGAATGTCTGCTCAGTATGAAGGTCCCGTCTAGCTATGAATATAAAGGGAATAATATATATGGTAGAGAAAAAGTTTCAGAACCTAAAGTCTCATGACTGCCACGTGATTATGACGCAACTGCTTCCGGTTGCATTGAGGGGACTTCTACCGGAAAACGTTTGATTAGCCATTGTGAAGCTATGTTCATTCCTCAGTGCAATCTCTCAGAAGGTGATCGATCCAGAAATCCTACCAAGGTTAAGGAATGATGTGGCGGAATGTCTTGTCAGTTTGGAGCTGGTGTTCCCACCATCCTTCTTCAATATCACGACGCACGTTCTAGTCCATCTAGTCGACGAGATTGTCATTCCGGGCCTTGTATTTCTACACAATATGATCCGCTTTGAGAGGTTCATGGGAGTCCTAAAGAAATATGTCCGTAACCGCACTAGGCCAGAAGGAAGCATCCCCATGGGCCATCAAACAGAGGATATCATTGGGTTTTGTGTTGACTTCATTCCCGACCTTAAGAATATAGGTCTCCCTCAATCGCGGTCTGAGGGAAGACTGGGTGGAAAAGGCACGCTAGGAGGGGACTCGATAGTATGTAGGGACGGGCATTCTTGGTCTCAAGCACACTATACGGTTCTACAGAATTCTACCTTAGTGACCCCATATGTCGATGAACACAAGTACATTCTGCGCTCCAAACACCCGGACCAGTGTGAAGACTGGATTATATGTGTACACATCAGGAGTTTCAGCAGTTGGTTCCAAACACGTCTCAGGTGTGACAAAAATGTTTTTGATGACCTGTACTCGTTGGCGAAGGAACCATCTTCAACTGTAATGACCTACAAAGGGTACGAGATAAATGGGAATACATTTTACACGATCGCCCAAGATCAAAAGAGCACCAACCAAAACAGTGGTGTCCGCTTTGATGCAGCAACCAAGAGGGGAAAGGACACATATTATGGTTATATAGTGGACATATGGGAACTTGACTATGGAAATGATATTAAGGTCCCTTTGTTTAAGTGCTAATGGGTCAATCTGTCAGGAGGCGGGGTACAGGTAGACCCACATTACAGAATGACATCAGTGGATCTGAACAATCTGGGGTACACAGACGAGCTATTCGTCCTAACCAATGATGTGGCGCATGTTTTCTATGTGAAGGACATGTCTACCAAACCAAGAAAAAGAAAACATAAGGAAGCGGATACATCATACGACGAGTCAAAGCACGACATAGTTTTTTCAGGAAAAAGAGACATCATGGGATTGAAGGGCAAGACATACGTGTGTGTGAAGATTATCAAAAGTTTCATGAAATTTCTCCCTTCAAAGTCAAGGCTGACCCAAGCACCCTGTTAAATGATGAAGATTATCCATGGTTACGGCGCAATAAGCAAATAACACAAGCAAGAAAAAGTGAAGACTTTCTATCAACAACTATTATGATGATGCCTTTGATGTAGAATATCACTGCAGTTACATTTAAACAAATGAAATCCTTTTGTAACAGATGAGTTTTTGTCCGAAACCCTGATACTTCCAAAGAGATTGTCTGTTTTGTACATGAAGTGCATCCAGTTTTTGGCGTAACCCTCTCAACTTTTTAGCACATGCTATGTGGGTGAAATGATGATACCATGCCAACTTTCAACCTTTTCAGAGTTCATTTGAAATGCTTTCATAAACCTCTAGTATTATTGAAACTAAAATTATATAAAATTTATGCAACTAAAATTATCAAAGTATTTTCTATTCAAAACATTAAAAGCAAAAAGAATTTTCACAAAATAAATAAAAAATCAAAAAAGAAAAGAAAATAAATATGTAGAAACAAAATAAAATAAATAAGTAGAAATAAAATAAACTTTAATAAATAACTAGAAACAAAATAAAATTTAATAAAGTAAAATAAATAAACTTTAATAAAATAAATGAATAAAA